TGAAATTCCCTCCCCTCTCCCCTTAGTGAAGCTGAAATATCTTATTTTAATTATTTTTAGAGATAGAAAGTAAGGGAGGGGGAGAGAGAGAGATAGATCAATTTATTGTTTTATCCACCCATTCACACATTCATTGCTGCTTGAATGTGCCCTGATCAGAGATAGAACCCCAAAACTTGGCTTATTGGAACAGCACTCTAATCAACTGAGCCAACCATTCAGGGCTTATTTCTATCTTATCTTTCTCCACTAAGAATGTGCTCTTTCACTCATTGTGACGTGACTACTCTCTCAACATTTTACAAAATGTCCTCACACTCAGTTACTAGTGAGCTTATTGTTAAGTCTCATGCACATGAGTGACCTCTAAGGGGCATTTAGTTCATTAATACATCCCTGATTTTACAATTTTGGCCACATTTTATCAATTTCCAATTGACAACTAAGTTACTATTTCAGAGATTCTCACCTGTGCCTTGCTGCTCTCCACTCTCTCTGCTCACAATCTCATTAAATCCCAAATCTTTACATATATAACAATGCACCAAATACAAACATTTCTCACATTTTTATACCCAGCCTGACCTCTCTTCTAAGCTCCATGTATTCATCTATCTTATCGACATCTCTCTATGTTTGGTTTCCATTTTTCTCTAACTTAGAAAGTCCATCATTAAATATTACTCTCGGCATTACAAAAATTTTTCCTCCTCTTTATTACCCTATGTAGTAAATATTACTCTTTACAGCCAGTAATGATGATAGAAAGGTTGATGAATCCGTTTATTTTTCCCTCCTATGTCAAAATCCACATCCAAAATACATTCTGCTTCCCACCTCTCTTCATCTACCCAAACCACTGAAGGCATGCCATTGTTGTCTGTAAACTTCCGGGACCTGCTTTGGTTCTCCCCAGTTCATTTTATGCATGGCCTCCAGAAAGAATACCATCTTATTGAGCGCAGCTCCTCATGAGATGCAGCTGCAATTTCTTCAGTCATGTTCCATTGCACCTTGGATTATAGCTAAACTCATGGCAAACAAGGATTGGCTGGAGATTTCTTCTTACTCTCGATACTCACTTCAAACTCATTTTCCCTTCTTCATTTGTTTCAAGACCTCCCAATACTCTCTCAGTTCCTTGAGCACATAATGTTTTGTTTTTCATAGAGGTTTGCTCGTGTAGTTCCTCTTACTAGAATCCTTGCTCCCATACTTAAATCAACTTATATATTATGTACACGTCAATTTATGATTCTAGTGGTATCGTTCACTGAAATATTAGCTGGCCCCTATTATGTTCTTTCATACCACCCTGTTTTTCCCTTTATAACCCTCATCACTATTTATAACCAGATTTTATTCTCAATGTATCACAGATTTTATTACGATTTTATGTCACAGGATGGCACCAGTGGCATTAATGTTATAACAACAGGACCATAAGCAGAATTTACAGTTCTTTGAGTGTACATTGACTATATAATTGACATATAACATTCTATAACTTTAAGGTGTATAACATTTTGACTTTATACACTTATATATTGCAAAATAATTGCCATTATTGTTAGCTACACCTACATCATATAATAGAACACACAATTACCATTCATATGTATGTGGTGAGAAAATTTAAGATCTCTTAGCAGCTTTCAAGCATAAAACTGACTATAGGTTAAGTGGTTGCTTTATTTGGGAGAGTCTAGAAGACGTTTTGTGATCGGTTGTTCTTAAATTTCATTTTCTGTGATTCAAGTGCATTCACTGAGGTTTAGGTTTTGACTGGCTTTCTGGATTACTAAGGCATTAGAGTTACCCCAGTGTAATGGCTTCCTTGTCTAATTATTTTTTAAAGTTTATTATATTACTCTAGAGATGGTTGTTGAAGTGTTCCATTTTAGACACAAAACTTTTAAATAGCATTAAGAATTTTTTTGCAAAGAAATACAGGCAATTTGGGAAGAACTTCATTTTCTTTTCTGTTTTGTGTGTAGGTTCCTTCCTTTTTAGTCAGCTTGTCTGGTGTCTTCAAACTGATTCAAATTTAATTAGGCAGAATTTTTTTTGTTTTCAAAGTATTTAATGCAATGGTGACATTTTATAGAAAAGCAAATTACAGAAGTCTCCTTTTTAAAGTGTGATTGCACCCAGATTGGCAGATAAAATCAATACAAATTAGCCAACATGTTTGTGCTCAAATCAAAAGTTGGAATGCTTCATAATACTTTTGTTTTCATATCTGACCAATTTAGTTTGGGGGAAAACAAAACTACTTATATATTTTTTAAAGATTTTATTTATTTTATTTTTAGACAGAGGGGAAGGGAGGGAGAAAGAGAGGAAGAGAAATATCAGTGTATGGTTGCCTCTGATGTGCACCCCCTGAGGACCTGGCCTGCAAGCCAGGCATGTGCCCTGACTGGGAATTGAACTGGCTACCTTGTGGTTCACAAGCTGGTGCTTAATCGCCTGAGCCACACCAACCAAAGCTTATTTTTTAAAAATTATTGTTCAAGTACAGTTGTCCCCATTTTTGCTCTGCCATTCCCCTCTGCCCCACCCATCCTCATCTCCCATCCTCAATCCTACCCAATTAGGTAATTGCCCAATTACCCAATTTTTACTTAGAAGCTATTAGTTGTCATTCATATTAATGATGACTAAGATGAGAATAATTAAAACATAAGCATAATTCAAGTTCACAAAATCATTTTTCTAAGTTAAATTTTCACTCCACTTTCAAATTGAGAATAAAATAATTTATTGTGTAAGTTCCTCATTACTTAATAATAGAAACAGCACTGAAACTCTAGGTGCATAAGGAGCTTTAATATTTAATAGCAACTTCCTTTGTATTCAAAGATAATATGAATCTCCAATTCCACAGATGTCAAAAAAGATATTATAGAGAAAATAAATATCTGCTTTTATTTCTAGTTGGAGTGAAAATTAGGTCCTGAAAACCACTAAGACTTAAATCTCAACTTCTGAAAAAGCTCATAGAAATTTATCATTTCAATTATCTATCCTATGCTATCTAAATACATCACAAGTTTGGCACTAGAAATCTCTAGAATCTTTATAAACACATTGCTTTCGATCACATGCTTTGCTGTTGATATTGTCCATTTAAGTCATATACTTTGTTAACATATTAACTGCCTTTTTTACTTCAACATTATCTTTTTTGATGAGTGAGTTTTACTTCAATATTAAAGTTCCTTATTGAAATATTTCTTAACAGAGGATGATTACTTCAGCTAAATTCAGTGGTAAGAATATTCCCTGGAGAACTTGTAATCTTATTTTATTTTCCCTTCATTTTTACAAATTTGTTTTTATGTGAGTGTGAGTGAAACAGGCTCCCATAGTCATGTTTTGAGAGAGTTAAAAATAATCATGTGGTTACTATCCATTCACAAAAACATTTCTATATTGTAAATGCCATACATTATATAAGGAATTATCAGATATTTCAAATGGGGAAAAAAACACATGAGTGGGGATGTTAAGTTCTATTCAGTCATCAAAATGGCTATGCTCTTTGAATGTAAAATATTTGCTTTGACTTGAAGCTGAAAGGCTAGGCCCTAAAAACTTCTATATCAATCTCTTATTTCCTTAAATTCTCTAAAATATACTATAAATCATTCACAAATTAATATGATATAGATTTCTGGAATCAATTTGGAGAAAACCCAACAATCTACAAATTTAATTTTTATAAATTTAGAAAATATTAAATTGGCTTGCTGATGATTTTAATCACCATATGCTGATTTAGCATTATGCAAATATTTCCTGAAAAAAAATGGTAAAAGTACTAGGAGCCCAGTTTTTAAAAAATAACTTGGAAATAATCATTCAAATTCATAAAGCTAGTTTTAAATTACAGGTTAATATTTATTTACATTAAAGCAAAATTTCTAAGAATTAGTTTTAATTTTAGTTAAAACTAAAACTTAGTTTTAATTACTTGATTTATTCTTTAAAATCATAAATTGTTGCTTTAACAAACTTCTTCCAGCAATTACCACTCTCAGGCAATTTCAACCCTGCCAGGGTAGAATAACATGATAGATTTACCCTACTGCCTGAAATAAAACTGACAAAATTTATGAAACTGGCTTTCAAGACATATCAGACAATGATGTTCAGATCCTGAAGAGCTAGAAAACAAACGAGGTCAACTTATGATTGACACGGCCTACGAAGGTTTCTAGGCTGGGAAGTAGGGTGCCCAGGGGAAGACTGGTGGTCTTCCTGAGTTGAAGAGATGGACCCGAATTTCTAGATCTAGTTGGTTATATTTTAACAGGACAGAGTTCTGGATAGAAAGGAGTTCTGCAGAGAGATAACTTCAGATATCTATAGCTATTGTCCTCTTTGTGTATTTAGCTGACTATTGATCAGAGCGGGTATGCAAAAAAATTACTCAAGGCTTGGGGAAGAACCTCCAGAAAAGATTAGATGGATATGTACAGTATTTATATAGATCCAAGTATACAACTTCTTCTCATCACAGATTCAAAACCTCTTCACTCACAGGACTTCGGGTAGAGTGCGTGGACTGGTTATACTTTAGTAGCGGGGTACAACAGCTGTAGGCAGATGTTGGTTGCTGGTCTATCAAAACTTAGAATGAAAACACAAAGATCAAAGTCATTTCAAGTAACTTAACAGTATATCAAAAGAAATTCTAAGAATAGGAGTATAAGTCTATCACCAGGGAGACAGGTATTTTATCACCAAGAAAACTGCATTACATAAAATAATAGAGAAAGTCCATAAGGCAGAAGGCAGATGACAACAGATAAAAAATACTGATCTACACAAATGAATGAAGAGTAGTGGATGACGTAGCTATGTAAATAAATACATAAAATTTTTCTCCCAGGGACAAGGACAAAGAGGGGTAGGATTGAGGATGGGAGGTGAAGATGGGTGGGGTGTGGGAGAAGGGGATGGGGGAAAAGGAGATTGTACTTAAAACAATAAGCTTTGCGCAGTGGCAGTATCGTAGCCAATGAGGTTTATCCGAGGCGTGATTATTGCTAATTGAAAACAATAAAAACTGCAAAAAATCCTTAAAAAATATTTAGATTTTATTTGAGAGTTTTTGTTTTGCTTTAATTATTTTATTGTTGTTCAATTACAGTTGTCTGCATTTTCTCCCCACCACTCCCCCGCCCCCCATCTCAGCCAAACCCACCTCCTTCCTTGCTTCCACCCTTCCCCTTGGTTTTTTTCACGTGTCCTTTATGGCAGTTCCTGAGCACCCTTCTCCCCATTATTCCCTACTCCCTCTCCCCTCCCCTCTGGCTATTATTAGAATGTTCTTAATTTTACTGTCTCTGGGTATATTTTGTTTGCTTTTTTCTTTTGTTGATTATGTTCCAGTTAAAGGTGAGATCATATGGTATTTATCCCTCGCCACCTGGTTTATTTTACTCAGCATAATGCTTCCCAGTTCCATCCATGCTGTTGCAAAGGGTAGGAGCTTCTTCTTTCTCTCTGCTGTGTGGTATTCCATTCTGTAAATGTACCATAGTTTTTTGGTCCACTCATTTACTGATGAGCTCTTAGGTTGCTTCCAGCACTTGGCTATTGTAAATTGTGCTGCTATGAACATTGGATGTATAGGTTCTTTGGGACTGGTGTTTCAGAGCTCTCAGGATATAATCCCAGAAGTGGAATTGCTGAGTCAAAAGGCAGTTTCATTTCTGAGGAAATCCCATACTGTTTCCCACAGTGGCTACACCAGTGTGCACTCCCACCGACAGTGCCCTAGGGTTCCTGTTTATCCTCATCCTCAACAGCACTTGTTTGTTGATGTGTTTATGATGGGCATTCTGACCAGTGTGAAGCAGTATCTCATTGTGGTTTTAATTTTTATCTCTCTGATGGCTAGTGACACTGAGCATCCTTTCATATGTCTCTAGACCAGTACCATCTGTATGTCCTCCTTGGAGAAATGTCTGTTCAAGTCCTTTGCCCATTTTTTAATTGTTTTTCTTTTGTCTTCCTGGAGTGGAACATTTTTTATTGTCTATATTTAGAAAATGATTATTTCTTTAAAAAAATAAATAAAAATGTGAAACAAAGTTTATAAAATAAGTATAAGATATAAGTAAAATGTATGACAAATTATCACAAGAAACAAGAGAAGAGAAATGGCAGTATATTATTATAAGGTCTTTAATACTATCATGAAGTTGAATGATAGGTGAAAGTGGAATCAAAAAAGTTATTTACCAATTATTTCATAACTTTCTAAGTTACATTGATAATTGCTAAATATTAGATCAACCTTCAATATCCAAAATATACATAAATTGCTCATACTTAGCCCTTTATGTAAAAAGATGGATGATGTCTGATAAAATTTTAAAACAATATCTTATTGATATTTATGATTAAGATTAGACTGCAATTTCCCTTTTCATATTACTCTCGTTATGACTGGATATCAAGCTGGTCTCACAAAATCAGCTAGAGAATCACTTCTTTTGTAACCTCTGCAAGTGTTGAAGTTACATTTGTGGTTATTTTCCTCAGTGTCAGGTAAAATTAACTACAGAGCCTGAGATATTCTTTGTGTCAAGACCTTTAAGTACAAATTTAATACCCTTTTAGGCTATTGAGAGTTTCTATCCTTTATTGTATTAATATTGGTAAGTTACTTTTATGATATCACCATTCCATTTACCTTTTCAATTATGTTGGCATAAAATATTTTCATAATATGCTTTTCATCTCTTTAATAATATGTAGATATGTCTATCCTTCAATTTCTTTCGTTGATTACTTATGCTTTTGTGACCAGACTAGCCACTTATTAACTTGTGCATCTCCTACAACACCATACTAGCCACTTACTAACTTGTGCATCTCTTACAACTAATTTTAGCTTTGTTAAGCAGAATTTACAGTTTTTTGAGTGTACATCAACATATAACATTCTATAACTTTAAGGTGTACACCATTTTGATGTATATCTTCTCTGTTGTGTTCTTGTTTTATATTTCATTAACTACATCTCTTACTTTATTTTGTTTTTTTATTCCAACTTTGGAGGAGTTTTCATGGCTATACATGTTTTATATTGTGAGGCTATGACATACTTTAATAGTTAATCTGAAATTTTTTATTTATTTGATTTGGACTCATTTTTATTTCCAGTTCATCTTTAAAGTAGAAATAATTCTATAATGACTTTTTGCAGCCTTTCAGAGTCTTTAATCATCACATAAAATTCAGCGACATTAGCTTGCTTTTCTAAGGATTACATCCATGCTAAGGATTACATCCCTGGGTGGAGGCAGTCCTATTAGTCTTTTTGGTTTGTATCTCCTGGTGATAAATATCATCTCTATGAGTGACCTGAGGAAAGAAGAATACATTTCCCAGTATTCTTGAGGAGAGAGAAGAAGCTCTCTCCTCTCAGCCATACTCAGCAGAAATTTAGCCTCTGTAACATGGTGTTCGTCCCTTCTAGGGAAATACCATACCATTGACTCTAAGCTAGGAGACAAGGGAAGCTAGTGTTATCCCTAACTACTCAGAATAAAGCTTTGGTCACATTGACCTGAGGTTATGGGGCAGGAAGTGGATCATGGCTCAAGTGCTATGGACCCTCATACTTCATACTAAAGATTTAGTATAGTTTCTTGAATAAATGTTTCTTCATTTAGTGTATGCCCTTAGGAAAATTTCTAGACTTTTATTTTATTTGATATTTTCAGGGCTTAATTTATTTTATGGTATTTTTTCATTACTATTTCTCCCACTTATACCCCTTTACGCCCTCCCATGCAATTGTCACACTGTTGACCAAGCCCATGAGTCTTTTTTGGGGGTTCAATCTTTCCACCCCCTAATCACTACCCCCAAGAGCTGTCAGACTGCTCTCTATGAGTCTGTCTCTATTTTGCTTGTTGGTTCAATTTGTTCACTACCTTCCACATAAGAGGGAAATCATATGGTATTTGTCTTTCCCTGACTGGTTTATTTCATTTAGCATAGTGTTCTCCAGGTTCATCCATGCTATTGCAAAAAGTAAAATTTTCTTTTCTTCTTTTTTTATGGCCGAGTAGTATCCCATTGTATAGATATCCCATAATTATTTTACCCACTCTTCTACTGATGGACAGTTGGGCTGCTTCCAAATTTTGGTGATCATAAATAATGCTTCAATAAACATAGAGTTGCTTACATCCTTTTGAATTTGTTTTTCATGTTTCTCTTGAAAAATTCCCAGAAGTAAAATTGCCAGGTCAGGGATGTCCACTCTCACCTCTCTTATTCAACATAGTACTGGAAGTCCTATTCATAGAAATCAGACAAGAAGAAGAAAAAAAGGCATCCAATTTGGAAAGGATGAAGTAAAAGTGTCTTTATTTGCAGATGACATGATACTGTATATAGAGAACTCTAAAGATTACACCAAGAAACTATAAGAACTGATAAATAAATTCAGTAAAGTAGCATGATAAATTATTAATATTCAGAAATCAGTTGCACATTTGTATGCCAATAATGAACTTTCAGAAAAGGAAATTAAGAAAATGATCCCATTCACAATTACTTCAAAAAGAATAAAATATCTTAGGAATAAACCTAACAAACCAAGTATGTAAAAGACCTGTACTTGGAAATTATAAGACACTGAAGACAGAAACTAAAGAAGATACAAATAAGTAGAAGCACATACTGTGTTCACGAATAGGAAGAATTAACATCAGTAAAATGGCCATATTACCCGAAATAATCTATAAATTTAATGCAATTTGTATCAAAATACTAATGATGTATTTCACAGAACAAGGACAAATATTTCAAAAAATTATGTGGAACAACACAATATCCTGAATAGCAATAGCAACTTTGAGAAAGAACAAAATTGGAGAAATCATGTTGTTTAACACCAAACTATACTATGAGGTTATAGTAATCACAACAGCATGGTACTGGCATAAAAACAGACAGATTGATCAATGGAAAGTAGAGAGCCCGGAAATAAACCCACGGCTTTATAGTCAAATAATATTTGACAGAGGAAACAAGCACATACAATGGGCTAGAGATAGTTTATTCAATAAATGGTGTTGGGAAAATTGGACAGATATTTTCAGAAAAATAAAACTAGACTGCTTTCTTATGCCATAGCAAATAATACAGTCAAAATGGATTAAAATCTTAAATGTTAGACCTGAAACCATAAAAATCCTAGAAGAAACTACAGTCAGTAAAGTCTCGTACATTGCTTGTAGCAATATTTTATTGTATATATCTCCTTGAGCAAGGGAAACAAAAGAAAAAATAAACAAATGGTACTAAATCAAATTAGAAAGTGTTTGCAAAGCAAAGGAAACCATCAACAAAATAAAAAGATATCCCACTAAATGGGAGAATATATTAGCTGGTATGTCTGATAAGCTGTTAATATCTGCAAGCTCATAAAAGAGATCTTGAATAAGAAGATTAAGGAGGCGACAATTTCCAACACATTGTACCTTTGCCCTTCTGTGTCGTGCCTAGCACCTTTGTCTGGATAGCTAATATGGAGCATATCATGAAAGCCCAGGCACTTTCTGGTAACTCTACAATGGGCTGCACGAAGGCCAAAAAGCATGTGATGATCAACTCCAACCACCTTGCTGTGGAGGCTCTGTGGCAGAAGGCAGAGGCAGACGAAAATGACAAGGTTCTCACAGACCTTGGTGTTTGCTGTTTGAAACTCTGCTGCCTTATTCTGGCTTCTCACTTCAGGATCCCCAGGCCCTCTCCAACTACACGTACTGCATGATCAAACTAGGCCCAGGCAGTGATGAGGATGAAGTGACAGCAAAAGAACCCAGTGCTGCTGTTCCTGATGAGATTCACCCTCCCAGAGGGTGATGGGGATGCCTCTTGTGTGGGAGAAGTAGATTAGGAGTTTCTACCTGCATGTGTCCTCTGTGTAGTGTTTTCATGGCTCCCCAGGTAATCCTGAGTGGCCTTAGCCCACTTGGTTTCCTTTGCTGCTTATTGTTTGTTTGTTTGCTTCTCTCCTGTCTTTGCCTAAGGCAAGTTACAAGGGCCTCAAGCCTTCCCTTCTTATATTTGACATCAAGTCTGCATGTTATTCTGTTTACTT